TTTTAAAACTAGCCTCTTTTTTTGGTATTTTGACTTTCAGCTAAAAGTTAGGAGTTTTGGTGGTGTTTTTTTTTAGAGCTATGATAGAAGCCCCTACAAGACTTTTCACCCCTAGACCTTTGACACATGGAGCGTTGCCGCATTAAACTCCCTCTGTGATCACATCTCAAGCTTTCTTTTCTGCCTGGATCATTAAGCAAACATTACAAATTTTAAAGTAGAGATTTCCAGTGTTGACTTAACGACCTTATATTTATTAAGTTGGCCTATCTCAGAAGATGGTGAAAAAACATAGAGGGGAGGTGATTTTATGGATAACAAGCCAATTCTTTTATCAGATCACGAGGAACAAATTTTCATAGATGTAAATTTTGTTTTATTTGGAAGTAAAAATATTGATACAACATATGTACCTCTATTTACTAGTTAATATTATATTTTATTCAGCTTCATTATTTATATTTTAAAATTATAAACAAATGTAATCTCCTGTATTTAGGATCTTAGAAGTATTATAAAATTTTAAAGTATTAAAAGGATGGTATTGTTGGATTCAAATTTATTCGTGGATGACATAAGATCGTACTAGCAGGTGATCGACTGTTTAGAGGTAGAAAATTGGGCCAAGTTTCAGTTAGTATGGAGAGTTAGTGAAAGATTTTAAAATGAGAAAATGTCCCCATAGCATCCACAGGCTAAAATGAGAAACCCAGATTGCGTGTGAGCAAGCAGAAGACAATGGCCATTGAAGTGAGTGGGCCTATTAGCTCGAAGCTAGGTGAGCCTATGACTCTGATGCAACCAATATTTGGAAAAACTAAGATTGCAAACATCTATGGTCTTCCTTTCATAAACGACAAAAATTAACACAATAAATACGACACAAAACCTAATAATTACAAATAAAAAGGACAACACATTGCAACGACACCTTACAACTTTAAATAAAAGGACACAACAACATTTTAAGACTTTTATATATTTTAGTACCTCATACACGACAAACACAATTTTAGAACATAAAAACACCCAAAAGCTTTTCTTTGATTGAGAAGAAATATACAAATGAGGTGGAAACTTGCGGAGAGAAGAATTAGATAAGTAGCCCGAGACGAAATCTTAGATGGGAGAAGAAGAAATGTAACAAGCTCGCAAGCTTTTCCAAGAAGAAACCCGCAGGTTTTGCAGTAAAAAAATTATCACATAATCTCTTTTTTTTACTCAACAAAATAATCCATATATATGTGAAAAGAGGCAGCCAAAACCCTTTTTTCCTCGAGCTGAACCAGCCCAAAAAGGAGAAACAAAAGGCCTACAAACGGCTGAAGGGACCACACGGGGGAGAGTAACGGGCGACCACAAGGAACCGGAACAGCCAGCCACAGGACAGGAGCCAGGCGGAGGTACCGAAAGGCCAGCAAAGAGGGGATGGGGGGAATGAACCTAAAGAAGCATTTATTACATAATAATGAGCTGAATTTAGAAGAAAATATAGCAGATTTCCAAAAGGGACAGCCCAAACTGAGACAACCTAGCCTAAACAAGGAACCAAATCATTCTAAAAACAAGGCAAACCAAATCGTTCCAAAATAAATATATTATGGAATATTTTAGAATTTTCAGGTTTGTTAATATTTTCTTTTGCATGAAAATGCATATTGATTCATTCTGTATATTTGTTTTAGCTCATCGATCTCTCTATGCCGCGGCAGTAAAACCAGTTATCTTAAAGTCAAAGTAATTTGTAGTTTTTATAACCCTAATTTATGTTGCTATACGATGATTTACTGAAACTAGTGATTACTTCTTCAGTTCATTGGTTTAGAAATAGGATCTGAATCTGCAGGATTTATGTTAAGTGGTTGCTTCATGAAGTGTCAATAGGCATATGGCCCTCTTTGAACAATGGTTTTCTCTGGATAATTGATATAGTAGTATATCATCATTTTTTTTCTGGTTGAAGGCAAAGGATTGAGAGATCAAAATCTCAAACTTCTAATCAATCAAACATGGAAGAAGGAGATCCGTCATTTGAAGATGAAGTTGATGATGCAGATGAAGAGCCACTGGTTAGGCACCGTTCTATACCTGCTACTTCTGGAAATGCTCCTCGGCAGATAATATTAAGTCCTCCATCAAGTCCACAACGACAGGAAGTTACTAGACATGCTCAGAATAATGGAGACGCATTCCAGTCAGATGAGGTATGATTTCTTAGGCTTTGTTTGGGACGGCTTTCTTACTGCTTCTTAAATCTGCTTTCTAGTATAAAAATTAAAATTTTTATATTAAAAAGCTGCTTTAAGAATCAATAAAAAAACTGTCCCAAATAAAGTCTTAATTTGCAATCTGCTTGACAGCATCTTATTGACGTTAGAAGTGATATGGTGAGTCCTTATTAAAATATACTTATTTTCTTTTTCAATGACTAAGTGGGGTGGCATCTCGTCTGAAGAGCATGATGAAGCTGTCATGCTTGAGGCCGCAATTTTTGGGGGGATTCCTGAAGGAACTTCGTATCATTTTGAATATCCTCGTCATCAAGTTATGCCAAGTAATTACGATAGTGCACCTCATGCACCATCTCCAAGACTAGCTGAACAGCGAATGCTAAGAGAGCAGCAGGTTAATATTTCATTATTAGCGGGGTTATTGGTTCCTAAATTGTATATCTGTTACCTTACTGACAGATGGGTGAATTGGTAGGATGATGAATATTTTGCATCACTGCAAGCAGATAGAGAAAAAGAGTTAAAAGCCATGCAAGAGACTGAAAAACGCAGATTGGAAGAGGCAGCTGCCGTAGAAGCTGCTTTCAAGAGGGAAAAGCATCAAGAGGAAGAAGCTTATAGGAAGCAGCTTGAAGAAGAGGTAAAATGATTCCAATAATGCATGAGCTTGAAATATGTGAGAATAATTTGCAGTTTATTTTCTATTGTGGGTAGGCAGATGAGCTTCCTTACCCAACAAGAATGATTGATTCATATTCATATTCTTATTTTTGCATGATAGCGCTCCCTCTTTGATTATTTAACTGTTTTCTAGGAGTTCAATTATTCCAGACTTCCATATCGTTTGGTTATACTGTGTTTTAGAGCTATGTCCAATGATTTTGGTTGCAATTCAAGGACACCAAATCATGAGTATTCTATAGAGATTGCATCAATCAAATGTAAAACACTTTTGCCATCGTGTCAGAGACTTTGTGTTTTTTTCACTCTTGCAATATGGGGAAGGGCCAAAAAGATTTTTTAGAGTGGGTTATTGACCCAATTTATATCAGACTAGTCCATGATTATTTATGGTAGAAGAGAACAAGAAAATCATCCAAAAAAAGTTTTGAGGGCTTATGTGTGGACAAGCAACTTAGTTCTACTAACCTGGGGGAAAAGCTTAAAATAGGAGTTTTAGGCTTCGTTTGGGATCGTCTTTCTTTCTGCTTTTTAAAACAGCTTCCTAGTACAAAAATTTTAATTATTGTAATAAGAAGCTGCTTTAAGACGCAATAAGAAAGCCGTCCCAAATGAAGCCTTAACCCCATTTGTCAATGATCGATTAACAGGGATTGTATTGGTTTTTGAAATAGCTCATGGTATAAGTTGAGGGTGTCTAATATGATGTTGCTCTTTTATATTTTAGGATTGTGAAAGCCTCTACTTTCATTACAAATGATGGCATTTATATCAACATAATTACGTCAAATATTTTTTATACTAAATTTTAATTGACAGGAATTTGAAAGGAAACTTGCTGCAAAACAAGCATCTCTTCCTCAGGAACCTTCCGTTGACAATGAAAATTCAGTTACACTTCTAATTCGTATGCCTGATGGTAGTCGTTGTGGAAGACGTTTTTTGAAGTCTGACAAGCTGCAGGTATATTTTTCAGAATAATCATAATAAATGCCCACCTACCCATACCAACCCCAACCCTAAGGCCCTCAATGTCTTTTATTTGTTATGATTTATTTTTTATCTTTTTTTGCAGTTACTTTTTGATTACCTAGATGTTGGAAGATTGGTGAAGCCCGATAGTTATAGATTGGTAATTAATCTTTCATATATCCTTGATCCCTTACATTTTTCTTATTTGTTTATTTGATTAGCATCACGTCGTACCATCCTTTTTCTTTTTAAATGGAGAGCATTTTATATTTTGTTCTGTCAAGTGTCAAATAACAAGGCAGCCTCTTATCTTCCATGTTATGAGGATTTTGGCCTGTGTCAATTGTTATCATCTAATATTATCTCATCTTTTTTCTCTAAATGAACTATAAATAATGCAACAAAAATTCAAAATAAGATGCATGCAGGGTAGCGAATTAAGCTATAAGCTTTTTAGCGTAAATATGATGGATAATATCCTTAAGGTCGAAGGTTAAGAACTCATGATAACACCTAAGAATAATTTTCCAACGATAATAACTACTTTTATTGATAAAAATACGCATTTTAGAAAGGCGGACTATTTACTTAAAATATAATAGACCAAATTAGTATTTATTAGATATTGAAAGATATGCTTTTTGTCCAGTACTGGTTGAACATATAAGGAAATAATATTACTGTAGGAGTTAGAATTAAATTCATCAAGCATTTCCCATTCGAACAATGGTCCTTATAGCTATAACCCAAATTAATTCTTTTATTTTGAAATTAATGTTTTTCAATAAGTTCTCTTAATAAAAATAAGTATTTTAGGAAGGCAGACTATTTCCTTAAAATACAATAGACCAAATAGAGTAATTATTAGAAATTGAAAGCCATGTTTGCTATCCAATATTTGGATGAATATCTAAGAAAAGAGTATTAGGGCTAGAATTAAATTCATCTAGCAATGCCCATTCCAACAATGGTCCCTAATTATGAGAACAAGAAGAGTTGAAAGATGAACTAGATCATGTTTTGATGGTCTAAAATTTGTAAATTTAGCACCAAGTATCTATTTTCTTAACTCTTTACCCTCATCTTTGATCTTTCTCTTTCTCTTATTTCATGTTCTTTGTTATATCCGTTTATTTTCTTTTCATTCTCCTGAATTTCTTCCTTGTAACTCATCTCCAAAGGGCTGGGTGATTGATCCAGTTAGGTTAAGGTAAGCTCTTTACCAATTTAATTATGTTAGTTGTTTCAATCTCCACGAACCAGCAAGTCTCCCTTCCATTAGAACCTCTAATCTCCACAAATCAGCAAGCCTCCCTGCCTTCATAAACTCTGCTAGGCCTTCCATAGCTTTGTCAGACTAGTTTATGACAGCCATAAATTTAAACTTAGTAGAGGTTGTCTTAGATGTCATGGTGCTAATCCTTTGTTCAAACAGCCAACTTAAAATTTCCGCAGATCCCGATGCTTCTGATATAAAATGCATTTTTGGAGCTCATTTGATTGCACATAGATAGAAAATATGTTTGAATTTTTATTTTTCATTCATATGAAATTGTATTGCCATTAAAAGAGAAGCATAATACTAAGTTAAGTGTTGCAGATATGAGGATGCTCAGGTGGATGAGTGGCTTTACCCTTAGAGATAGGACGCGAAATGAGCATATACGTGAAAAGATTGAAGTAGCGCCAGTGGAGGTTAAGATTAGAGAAAGTCGCCTTAGATGGTTTGGTCACATAAAACGGCAGCCTTCTGATGGCCCGGTGAAGAAAGTAGAGTTATTATATTTGACTTATATTAAGAAAGGTAGAAGGAGACATAAAAAGTCTTGGTCAGAAAATATTATAAATGACATTTCTTTATTAAATTTAAACGAAAATTTGACTTTTAACATGACACAAAGGAGAAAAAAGATTCATGTAGCCAACCCCACGTAGTGGGACAAAGGTTGCTTGTTGTTGTTGTTGTTGTTATTGTTGTTGTAATCGTATGAAATTGTATTACAATCTTAGGGGACTAATGAGAAATTTCTTACTGTTTTTCGAAAGTATTTTCTAACTTCAAACAACCATATGGTACCATAAAAGGGATGAATCTTGAAAATTGAGATTGCCTATTATAAAATTAATGCTTAAGTGTTTGTTAGATGCAAAGGATTCTTCATTTTACT